TTGTTGTTGTCTCATACTTTTAGATATGCTGTTATTTGTAAATGCTACTGCTTATGTTAGCTTTTAATATACGGTTTTATCCTGATTAAAGCTTTAATACAGTACGGCAACTGCACGCGCGTCCATGTTTAACGCTTCTCAAAGCTATGTGAAAATAAGTGTATAATTGGAACAGTTCATTGTTGGAGCTGAGCTGAATGAGAGAGAGAGCGAGAGAGAGAGAGATGCAGAGCGTGTGCAGAGCAGGGGACGCGAGGAACAGTATTAAGAACACTTCTTTCGAACATTGATTTTGAAACTTGTGAATCCATTAGAATGTTAGAAGACAGAAAAGCGATTCATATATGAATAGATTTTTACGTGCACCTCTAGTTTTCTCTTCCTCTTCTCTAAAGGAGCACAGCATGGCCTCGCCCCCTTTGCAGCCTTTTTCCGAGGGCGGGGTTTATCAGGATTTGTTACGTCACAAACCCAGGAAGTAACTTGTTGTAGTCCCTACCAGCCGTTTTTGTAGGCATTCAACTGCCAGAATGTTAAAAGACGATATCTCTGTTTGCATTGAACTTTCAGCTTCATAACTTTGCAGATATTGTTTATGATCAAACAGCAACATTACACACTAACTAACATTAAAAAAGTGAAATCGCAATCAACCACCCCTTTAACAAATGTAGGTGTATAAAACATCTCAAATGAGAGACAATGACAAATTCAGCTCTTTTATTATCATCTCACAATAAATTTCTTTAAACATAATGTGATATAAATGATTCAACATTCCCTTCAGTCATTCACACATAACTACACGGGCCACCAACAACAATATACAGTAATTCATCCTTTTACCACACAGAACAAAAGAAAAGTTGATCACAGGAGGCTTTATATGCTCCTGGGTAAAACAAAAAAATGCTGAACTGTCGTTCCTCATAAATGATCACATCTCATAAACTAGATATTTATTGTAACTTAAAAATCTCAGCTCATCCTGAAACCAAACGAATGAATGAATAAATAAATATCAAGGCTCCGTCACTGTCATCACCCAGTGTCACATTTGTTTTCTTCTCGGACCACGTTCTAAATGAAAAATAAAATCTGTGATGTATAACTTGGAGTTCCATTACATGAATCCTGCTATATGAATAAACTAGCACTGTGCAACCAAGCCTTGTTTTCATTGTCATTGTACAGAAAATATTACCATTGTCATTGTACAGAAAAGACAGGCCAATACAATAAACCTGAATTACGAAATAACAATCACCAAGTGTTTTCCTTTGGAATAAAAACAAAGCATTTCAATCTTCGAGTGTCAAACGATTCAATTCTTTTATATGCCTCACCATAAGCTTCTGCTTTCGATTAGAATTAAATAAACAATCCTATCCTTCCTGTTAAAAGACTCAAGACTCATTTCAGGAGAATTAGTTTGTGTCACTGTCGCTGTCGGAATTATTGGACTCTCCGAACTGTTGGCTGGCTAAATAATGAAGCTCTTGTGGCTCCAATGAAGTCATTTTACCATCAGCTCCGATTTTCATTGGCTGGATCAGCTGCTCCCTGAAAGAAAAGCATGTTAGTGGTTACTTACAGCTGACGTCATACTATTTTGAAAGCACAATGAGAGCATCGTTGCTTGTAAGCTTTGGGCTTCCTGAAGTCACTTTATTACCTGGAGAGTTTATCGAACATGTTGACCAGTTTCATGGCTTCGTATTCTTTCTGTTCTTCAGTCATTCCCTCCATAGGGTTAGGCTGCTCCTCCTCTACACGGCCGGTCACTGGATTGATGCTGTACAAGACAAAAAAATATTTTTCTAACTTACAGGCGGCTTTTATGGTTTCTGACAATGACGTACTTAGGTTTTGCCTCTCTGTACTCCTCGGTATCGCTGTCTTCGTCTTCTGAGTAATGTCCAGGGTCTCGGCCGCCTCTCATCAGTCCCCGAGCGGCCAGCAGCCCTGCTGCGTTACCATAACCTGTGTACTTGATAAACCTGGAAACTGATAGACAGAAAAGAATAAATTATTTTATTACAAAAGATTGTCTCTTCAACTTTTGGCTAAATCTATATATACACTACTGATCAAAAGTGAGATTTAAAAAAAAAAAAAAAAATGTATTCAGCAAGGACGCATTAAATTAATAATAAAAAATGACAGTACAGACATTTATAATGTTACAAAAATCTGGTTTCAAATAAATGCTGTTCTTTCAAACTTGCTATTCATCAAATAATCCTGAAACAAAATGTATCACAGTTTCCACAAAAAATATGAACAACTGTTTTCAACATCAATAAATAATGAGAAATGCTTTTTGAACACCAAATCAGCATATTAGAATGATTTCTGAAGGATTATTTGACACTGAAGACTGGAGTAATGATGCTGAAATTTCAGCTTTGAGTCACAGGAATAAATTATATTTGAAAATAAATTAAAATAAAAAAAGTTTTTTTTTTGTTTTTAAATTGTAAGAATATTTCACAATATTACTGTATTACTGACTTTTGATCAAATAAATACAGCTTTGGTGATTGGAATTTATTTTTAAATAAAAAAAATCTAACCAATCCTAAACTTTTGAAAGTTTATGTAGGTTAATCACTTTTTTTAATAAGATGTTAATATGTGAGGGTGATTATCAATTGCAGTCACTACTAGAATACATAATTTATTCTTAATTTAAAATTGCATTAAATTCACATAAAATTGCATTTTCCAAACTATAGTAAAGAAATATATTACAGAAATGTACTGGTGTTCCTAAAACATTTTGCTCTAAAAAAAACAAAAAAACAAAATACACAGGATTTTTTTTTTTACAATAATTTTGCAAAATTTTTTCAATGTGTGATCTCAATATTCCAGTGATTTAGTGTATTTTAATGATAATGTAACGTACCACTCTCCTTGCACAGCACAAACAGGAACTCAGCCGCACAGTGCTTCACATCCGTGTCTATGTGTGTCATTAGACGGACTAGCTTGTTCCGTAGAGCGTGCCCGACCTCAGGTCTGTTTTTGACATCTCGTAATGGTGGAAGCACCTGTGTAGACACACAAACATACACTTTCATTACCAAAAAGAAAACATCTCTCAAGTTCACAATCAAGTTTTTAACCAATCTCACCTTAATTCGTAAAAACTTCCTGGTCTCTCTGTGGATGCGAGCGCTTTCCGTTAGTAGATTTAATGAGGGCAGCAGTGTTTCTTTCAGCTTGTTTCCCTGGAAACACAACGTCAACAAGTTGAGATGGTGAGCAGTTAAATAGTTGTACACTGGAGCTCCAGATGTGTCCTGGTGTAGAAATCCCTCAAAGCATTCCCTTCACACCCAGCACAAAAACAATAACAACACAACCAGCACAAACAGGTGTAGAGCAGCTCCCAGAAAAGAAAGAACAAAAATAACTTCATCGCAGGTGTTTCACCTCAACCTAACCAGGTACAACACAGCAAAATTCCAGTCCAATTTTATTTGTATTCACAATACAAATTGTTTCAAAGCAGCTTTATAGAAAATCATGAAGTCAATGTTTATTATATCTTGATATATTAATGCCTTATAGTAACATTTAGCAGATTACCCTGTTGAAAAAAACAGCATATGCTGGTTAAGTATGTTTTGATGCTGGTTTATGCTGGTCCTTTGCTGGTTTATGCTGGTCGTTTGCCAGCACATGACTGGTCCTTTTGCTGGTTTATGCTGGTCCTTTTGCTGGTTTATGCTGGTCCTTTTGCTGGTTTATGCTGGTCCTTTTGCTGGTTTATGCTGGTCGTTCCCTTCACACCCAGCACAAAAACAATAACAACACAACCAGCACAAACAGGTGTAGAGCAGCTCCCAGAAAAGAAAGAACAAAAATAACTTCATCGCAGGTGTTTCACCTCAACCTAACCAGGTACAACAGCAAAATTCCAGTCCAATTTTATTTGTATTCACAATACAAATTGTTTCAAAGCAGCTTTATAGAAAATCATGAAGTCAATGTTTATTATATCTTGATATATTAATGCCTTATAGTCACATTTAGCAGATTACCCTGTTGAAAAAAACAGCATATGCTGGTTATGTTACGGGGCTGACGAGACGTGAGACTTGCGGATCCATTCGCAGAGCTTTTTTATTGTAGGCAATGATATATAAAAAGACATAATGAAGCAGTTTAGATTTGTTATACAGTATAGTACATATCGTTTTACATGAGTGTACTGTATGCGGATAAAGTTGGACATAATTATATGTTAAACTTTTATATATTACATATTTGTATGTATGTGTGTGTGTGTGTGTATATATATACTGTATATATATATAGCTTTCCATGAATGTACTGTATGTAGGTTTAAAGTTGGATGTACAGTAGTATATAATACTTAATCAAGTTTATATTTGCTATTAAGTATATATCGCTTTTAAATGAGTAAACTATATGAATCTGGGTAAGGTCGGATGTACTTATAAAAGTTGTATAATCTGTAAATTAATTATAAATGAATGTAAAGTAATTTCTATTTTGTAACTTTAAAAAAATTTTTGTTGGAAAATAGATAATTTTTTAAAATAAATATGTAAATAACAACTCACAAAATGTGTATTTCTATGTATGATTTGTATATTTACAAAGACAAACAAAAATGATGTTTAGTGTGATTGTGAAGTGTGATTTCGGACCAATGAGATTTCACTGTGGCCACCCACCACTGGAAGAAATGTGAACGTTCCAAGCAGCAACCTTTCTCTTGAAACCAACACGGAAGTGACTTAAACTGCAATTCATCGACTGGCCGCTAGAGACAGGCTCCAAAAGGGAGTCAATCCCATAGACGCCCCGTGTTAAAATGCCCAACTTTACAGCAGAAAAAATGTTTACAGCCTGGTACAAAAAGTGGTTTAGGTCTATATAGCTAATTTGTCCTTCATGACAACTGTGAGGGGGGGTGAATTTTTTTATAACTCATCCGTTTATATTATCGTAAGCCTTAAAGTTATGTATAATTAAGGGTGTGGCCACTTGAGCGACAGGTGGATTGCACCTTCGAGCTAGGCGGGCGTGGTTTCAGCAACCAGCTCCACCCACATCCCGCCTCTTTGCCCATTTTTGATTATCCAGGAGTGACGCGCTGCCAAGATGGCGACAGCCGGCTCCGCCCACTTTGGGCTTCAAAAATGCTCTTCAGAAACCTACGGGTGACGTCACGGACACTACGTCCATGTTTTTATACAGTCTATGGAACGTTTTATTGTGTTTTAACCTTTTTAAGGGATGTTTTGAAATATTAACAGTACACTTTTGCACAACAGAAGTATTGCATTGCTCACCCGGTCGAGTATTTTCTCCATAAACTCCACCAGCACCTTGACGGCGTCCATGTTGACGCCCATGTACTCGATAGAGCCCTGCTGGACTTTAGGCATCAACAAGACGTCAAGACACAGAAGCGGCAGGTTCCCCAGAAGGTTCACCGTGTGGCTGTAAAACAAATTCACATCAAATTTGCTTTCCTTTTACAAATCAACTAATTAATTGGGACGGAGATCCCTGTGGATCTACTCTAATTTGTTACCAAACTCTACAAATCAGAGCAAGACACATGGTGAGAATCTGTGCCAGTGTGTCACTGTCTCAAACAACTTTACATGATTTGGTTGTGCACTTTAATGCATTATTGAGAAACTGTATCCTTGCCTTAATAAACCTCTGTGCATCTAGATCTTCTGCCCCTCTGTGTGTGTGTGTGTGTGTGTGAGAGAGTGTGTGTGTTTGTGTGTGTGTACCTGTGCATCTCCTCTGTGCGCTCTTCTCCCTCTGAGGTGCTCATGATGCAGTGTCTCAGTATGGCACCCAGGTGTCTGTAAGTGGCTGCTTCCTCCTGCAACACACACAGACACGCACACCCACACACATGCGTGTGCGCGCACACACACACACACACACACACACACACACACACACACCAGCACAATGTCCCATGAAACCACATTAGATCTGCCTCACTAATTAAACTAATTAAATAAAAAAACTGTTATTTACACTGAGAGAACAAATCTAATTTCTGCAGGTGTGTAATCCTTATTCAGCAAAATGTGAGAATGAAATTTACGCTTTTGTGGGATTAGGAGAAATTTCGAAAATGAAAAATAACTTATCTTATCACAATATTAAGAAGCAGCCAACAAAATTACACATTTAATCTGCAGCAAGGAATGCACAACCCCCAAATATCAGTATTGGTTTATTTTCTACATTTTTTATTTTTTTTTACATTATTTATTTATTGCATCAGTCTTAATAGGCAGATAATGGAATCATCTTATTTTTTCAAGTTTAAACATTATAATCTTTTTTATGCCATATTTGAAAAGTATGAAATATGCATCAGCCTTTATTCATAAAACTGGCCATCATATTTGTTAGCATTGAACATGCATAATAAATGAAATATTTATTGAGTACCAAGTCAGCAAATTAAAATCACCCTGACCAAGGCCAGCATGTCGGATCAGGATCTGCATGGCGTGGCGGGTGGCAAAGGGAGCCAGGCTCTTCTTGTCACGGGACAGGATGCGGATGGTTTCCAAGCAGGCCAGCTGACAGGACGGCTGGAGGTCTCTCTCCAGGAAGCCCAGCACTAACTCGCCCAGACGCTGAGAGACGAGAGAGAGAGAGATACAGTGAACAGCAGCAACCATCAACACCATCACTTGAGTCAGCGGTTCTCAAATGGCTTTGCTTTAAAATCTAGATTTTACAATGGACAGTATCAAATTTGTGCACCAACGGTTTTTTGTTTTTACTGCTTAAAAAGTACTTTTTAATTTTTTTTTAAATTTATTTAAAATGTAAATTATATATATGCATGTGTGTGTCTGTGTGTGTGTAAAAATTATAATTACAAAAAATAATAAAAAAATAAAAATATTACAAATTCTGAAACATACATTACAATTTCAAAGTTTGGGTTTAGTGATTTTTTTGTTTTTGTTTTAGAAAGAAGCCTCTTATATAAGGCTGCATTTATTTGACCAAAAATACAGTAAAAACTGCAAAATGGTGAAATATTATTACAATTTAAACTAACTGTTGTCTATTTTAATATATTTTAAAATGTAATTTATTTCTGTGATGGCAGAGCTGAAATCATTCAAACCTTCAGAAATCACTTTCAGAAATCACTCTATTACCCTGAGGTAATGCTCAAGAAACACATCTTAGTATTATTAATGTAGTAAACAATTGTGCTGCTTAATGTTTTTGTGTAAACATTTTTATTTTTTTTCAGAATTCTTTGACGAATAGAAAGTTCAAACGAACAGAAATTTAAAACAGAATTCTTTTATAACATTATAAATGTATTTACTGAGACCTTTGGTCAATTCAATGCTTCCTTGCTGAATAAAAAAGTATTTCTCTCTTTCTTTAAAAAAAAAAAAAAGAAAAAAAAAAAATCCTGACTGACTACACATTTGAAGGGTGGTGCAGATATTTTAGATTTTAAATATAAAATACATAAATAGATATAAAAAGATAAAAATCAATAAAAATTACAAATATACAACATATTTAAAAATACATTACATATAAATACATCGATTATAAAAAGACATGAAAATTCAATCAGAACAGACCAATTGAGAAACCCACCAACTGAGGCTACGTGAGAGAATCTCTTGAGTGTTATTTTCCTGCGATTCAGTGGTTAAAAACTTTCAGCTTTGAATTCATGTTTTAAAAACACACTTGAGACCTGTTTATGCTAGAGTAGCAACATAACAACATTATGTCCATATTTCCCAAGGTAATTTAATGAATCACACTGGGTGTTGTAGAAATAGACACCTGGAGTTCCTGAGAGGGATCATTCATTATTGTTAGAGTAGACAGCTCGCTATATACACGGGTGGAAGACTGACAACTCCTCAAATTCTCCCTGACTGTGTTTCACTGCCAAGACCTCCAACTGTGACACGTCCTTACATAGCCCAGTCAAGCAATGAACAAAACGAGATCTGTTTGAAACCCATCTATGACACCACACGGTGATAACCAAATATAGCAGCATTATGGGGTTACAGTCTTTACCAGGGGTTTCCAAAGTGGGGCCTGCAGTTTTATTGTGAAATGCTATGGAAACAATTATGTACTAAAAATTATTTAGAATTTATACAAATATTTTCCAGACAATATATGAATAATTTCTTTCGCATTTAGTATAAATGAAATGATAATTATGCATGTTTTAAATGAAAAGAGCAACAAAAATGGTCTTCCACCAAAAATAGCAGCATTATAGTGTTATAGTCAATACCAGGGGTTTTCCATTTGTGATTTGGATCAAATTTTGGAGTGAAAAAATCGTCTTACAAGCTAATCTGTTATTACTCATGCATAAAAATGACATGGTACATGCATAATACTGCGCTAGCAACAACAGTTACCAAAAGTGAGTTATCCAAAACTTCAGACGTGTATGCTAGATCATTTCTTTATTTTGTGACTAGTCCCACAATGTTCAGGGATGTTCCAGAAAGCACTAGAATATTACAGAATGTTACAGAAACTTCCATGTTCCCATCTTTGCAAAAGCAAAAAACATGCAAAATTAGTACTAAAACGTATCTGTACTAAACCAAGGTTTCTTAATTAATGATAAAAGTTCTAAAATGTATCTGACCGCATATTTACAAAAACATTGACGCTACGTGAAAATAAATAGTATAATAATAGTTAGCACAACAGAATTATAGAAAAACTAATTTTTGGTACATTATTTTAAATTCAACTAATATTTTCCAGATAATATTTTAATGATTACTTTTGGCTTTAGTACAAATGAAAAGCTTATTTCGTTTTTAAATAGCAACAAAAATTGTCTTTATAATATCACACTTACTATTTTTCCTCACACAGTATAAAGAAAAAGAGAGTTCTTTGCAAGCCGGTTATCATGTTTAAGGGGTCCTTGGTGTAGGATATCAGACCGAATCAGACAATCTAAGATTTGGTCAGAACCGAGTTGAGGCACGAGGAGTCACAAAAATTCCACAGAGATTCCAATATCCTCGTGATAGAAATCATGTCCAAAATCATACTCTACCAGTACTAAAACGTATCTGTACTAAACCAAGGTTTCTTAATTAATGATAAAAGTTCTAAAATGTATCTGACCGCATATTTACAAAAACATTGACGCTACGTGAAAATAAATAGTATAATAATAGTTAGCACAACAGAATTATAGAAAAACTAATTTTTGGTACATTATTTTAAATTCAACTAATATTTTCCAGATAATATTTTAATGATTACTTTTGGCTTTAGTACAAATGAAAAGCTTATTTCGTTTTTAAATAGCAACAAAAATTGTCTTTATAATATCACACTTACTATTTTTCCTCACACAGTATAAAGAAAAAGAGAGTTCTTTGCAAGCCGGTTATCATGTTTAAGGGGTCCTTGGCATCAAAAAAGGTCTATACATCTCAGTGCAAATGTGATTTACTGTAGTAGTGCTTTATGTAAAGTGGTATATTGCTGTTGAAGCCCAAAGTTGCGTATTATAAGCATACTTGGGAACTCTGATGACCAGAGTAACCATAGAACTGAACACTAAAATTAACACTAAAAGAATAACGGGATGATAGTGAAAAATGGTAATAGCCAAATCTGCAACAAAAGTCTTGCATTCTCTACTCCTTTTTAAAAGATATCCTATTTTTATATGAATTTATGACTAACATTTTTTGTTTGCATGAAGCATTGATTTTTCTCTGCTTTCCTCAACCCATCGTGACCCATCAGAACCACTGGTCTATATATTAGCATTGGCCATAGACTTGTATTGATCGACCACTACTTCCAACATCACGTACTCAAATGGGAAAATATTACTGGTGTAAACAATGCAAATGGAATGAGACAGCATACAGATAAAGATCTCATTTGTTTCACTGCAAAACAGGGTCGGCGCCAGAGTGCACAAAGTGAGGGGGCAGGCACAATTTATTGGGGGGCCGCACTTATTGTTTTTGGTGGGGGGGTCTGCTTTGAAAAAAAAAATGTTTCTGAAAGTAATTTTCAGATGCAACGGGGGAAAAAACGGGATAAACACAAACATGACACTTGTAAATAAAATAATCTGATATATAGCCTTTGTACAATTTAATAACATATAGCCTAGTTTGATATATGAATTGGGTGTTCGTCAAAGATTGCTTCAGTGTCACATGATCTTCAGAAATCATTCTAATATGCTGATTTGCTGCTCAAGAAACATTTCTGATTATTATTAATGTTGAAAACAGTCGTGCTGCACAATATTTTTTGTGGAAACCAGCATACATTTCAAATTTTTCAAAAGATTGCATGCGGTCGGAGTTTCCCGTGTTTACAGCTCCGTAAAATAACCTACTGGAAGCTCTGTAGTTTTGCTGTATAAGCCTATAGATAAAAATGTTAAAATGACAAACACACAATAACATTTTAAGTTACTTACATAATTCGAAACGGCAAAGTGCAAAGTGTTAGCAGTTTGAAAATTCAAGAATAATAGCAAAGTTAAAAAGAATTCTTTCTAAATGCAGCACCGTTCTTATTTCGCTCTGCATAACCTGAACGGAAAAATTTTTTTTTGCTAAGAACGAACCGAAATGAAAACATTTCGCTTTTAATC